CCCCGCCCCCCGCACAAAGAGCCGCGGCTCCTCGCCCGGACGAGACGGGACGGGACTCACCCCGCACGGCTCCGCTCCGCTCCGCCCGACCCTGTTCGGCCGCCCGCAGGGACCCCGACCAGCCGCCGCGCAGCGCCTGGGACAGCTACGGAGCTAGAGGCCTCCTGGGCCGCCCGCCAAACGCCGCCCCACCATAGGCCCCCGCCCACGTCCATCAACGCCGTGCCCGCCCCGCGCCAGAATTCCCCGCCCCTCCGGCGGCCCTGTCCAATCCGAGTGCCCGTCGCTTGCGGAACCACCGGGCGCGCCACCGCTTCGGAGCCAGGACTACATTTCCCGGCATGCTGCGCGGCTGGCTGGAGCGGGGGGGGCGGGGGCGGCCGCGGCCGGCCTGCCGCCAGCAGCAGCAGCAATGACTTTTTGTCGAGGCTGGCCCCGTCTTCCGTCCACAGCTCCGGGAGTCGAGCCGTGACCCGGGAGCCTCTGCTGAAGGCTTAGGCGGTGCATCTGCTTCCCAGCCATTCCCTACTGGCCCAGCTCGGAGCTGGGCTGGGCGGCATTAAGAACCCGGGTCAAACAAGAGGAGAAGGCGAGGGGCACTGCAGGGATGGGCGAGCTCCCCAGAGCCATGCGCCCCGGGCTGGCGTAGTGATGGAGCGCGCTAACGAGCCAGTGCAGCATTTTCTTCCACCTCCATTTCCCTGCCCAGGGGCTCTGACACACCTCCACCAGGCCACCCCATTTTCTATGCAAGGAACTAAAAAAACAAACAACCCCCCTCCCCCCACGCAAGGAAATTGTCAGTCAGGCCTTGCAGGCCTGAAGGGGAAATTATTGACAGAAGAGACAGAGGGCAAAGATCAAAGATGTCCTTTGTTTGAGCCTCAGTTCACCAAGCCCATAAAGATACATTTAAAGATACTGGTCACCAACCAGTGGATCTCCAAGCCTCTTGCAGTAGATCTTGGAGACTCTTGGAGTTGATCTGAGGCTGGGGTAGGGGACTAAGTGCCCATGTGCATGCACACGTATGCCCCAACCCAGCAGGTCAGTCCATGGGGGAGGGAAGGAGCAGGGGCTAGATGGAGGCCCCCGCAGTGAGGGACAGTGATGCAGAGGCAGGAGCTGGGGTATGTTGAGTGGGGCCCCGACCGGGTGGGACTTACCTGCTGGGGAGGTGCGCCCCCAAATATTTTTTTCTCCCTCTGTGTCAAGCTGCCCTCCCCTTCCTTCCCCACAGCCTTGGGGGGGGGCGGGGCATGGCAGCACACAGTAGATCTTGTGTTGCTTTTCAGTGCCAAAGATGATCTATTTAAAAAGGATGGAAACCACTGATTTGAAGTGTAGCTGGATTTAGCTCTGCTGAGGCAGAATCATGTGGAAAAGAGCAGGCTGAGGAGGGCAGACAAGATGTGACATAGGCAGGCTAAAAATCAGGATTACACCAGAGAAGTCTTTCTACTCCTTCCAATGGGCTTTGGATCAGGTATTTAGGATGCTTTTACAGGCACACTGCAGTGCTGTGCAGAGGTACTCAAGCTAGCTCAGAGCCAGCTGGCTTAGATGCTGGAAGCAGCATAGCCACGGTGTTAGAGTGGCACTGCACCCAAGCTGATCTCCTCTGTTCAGAGATGACCAGAGCAGGGTGTGAGGCTCAGGGTAAATCAGCCTGTGCAGGGCCCTGCCCCTGGACGCGAAGAAGCTGGCGGCACATTCAGCGGCAAGGGGGGTGGGGGTGCTGAGTGGCCAGATGCGAAGCCAGCGGCAGCGTGGAGTCACTGTGGCTGCTCCGCCTGGCTCCGTAGGACCCCCCAAAGCATGGGACCTGGGGCAGTCACCCCAACCCCATTCCCCCCCACCTGAGGATGGTCCTGTCTCTGCTGAGGAGCTGGGTATACTAACCTGCCGAGTATTGAGCTCATGAGGCCATATTGCTTCTAGTACAAGAACCAGGTGGTTCAGTTAGATTGGGTATCTCTACACAATACTGCATTGTGCTCTGTAGACACATCGTTAAAGTGGAGCTCTGTTGACAAGCGATTTTATGGAAATGTCATCATTCATGGGGTTTCATGCTCTTTGCATCTCAGAGTCCCCAGGTTAAATATGCACTGAATAAAAGCAAAGAGTTGTTTTTCCTACCTGCTGTCCCTGGACATTCCCTTCCCAGCCTCCAACAGCCATGCTGTGCTCTGTCCATCTCATACCCCATTACCAAAAATAAAATTTTTGCAAGCCAGATACCTGCAGAGACACCTGTATAACCCCACTGTATTCATTTCAAGCCACTGGCCCTGCAACTGAACCTTAGGAAACAATGCTATTGGTGAAGCACAAGCTAGAATCAACATGAGTGCCCTCCCCCAGAGCTGAGCCGGCAGAAGTGAAACTCAGTGAAAAACAGATGTGTCACTAATGTAACTAGATCTGGCTCTGTATAAGCACGCAGAGAAAGCAGATCACTTAAGGTTTTACATGTTCCCATTTAAAAATAGAACAATGCTTAGCTATTAAGGTTGGTGAGCCAGGTAAAGCCTCCAGGCTGGAACTGAATCCAAGTCCAAGCAAAGTTGGTAGCAAAAAAAAGATACTTCCTTTATTTTGGCAATGAGGGAGGTGACAGGGTGGTGAGGAGAGGCCACACCTGTATTTAAAAATTGGACATCAAAGCAATTGGAAGGATGAGGAAATGCTGATTAGGGACAGTACAGAGGAACACCTAGGGAGCTACCAGCTGTAATAAAGGACAGTCAGCTGAGACTGGTGGTCATGCTAGTCAGGTCGTGGAAGAAGTGGCAAAAAGAATGCAAGCATGGGAATTTACCTGGCCCTCAGGGACAGTTCCCCACTGGGAAAATAGCTAGATATGTGCAATTCAGGACACTTGAAGAATCCAATTGAAATCACCCCCTGTTGAAATTTCTTTTCTTTGGTTTAATTCAATTTAAAGCCCAAGGGAAGGAGCTATACAGCAATTGGAACAGGAACAGGACTTTGACCATGGTACTGGGGGTTAGGCAGCAGACATTGAAGACAGGTTGCTCCTGCTATTCTGAGCATTTCTGGTTGGGTGGAATTGGTCCCTTTCAAATGTGTGTCGTATGTCCTGCACTGACACTACTAATAGTCATTCTTCTTCAGGTTCAGAGGCTGTGGGCCATACTCTTGGAGAAGTAGTATCTATGTTCTTCTCCTATTTACAACTGAAATAGCGAGTAGCTACAGTATGAAAACCAAAGTGATCAAAACTATTCCAAAGGATATGAGACGCAGTCTGGGAAAGATGCTGGTGATGCCATTCTTGGCTTTATAGAGCACTGACTGCAAGAAGGAGCAGTCAGGGAGGGGATGAAGTTTGCTCTTCATGCTGTTATTGATATTTCTTTCTATTTTGGCAGCAGTCAGGGGCTCTGACCACAGTCCAGGCCAGCTCTGTATATAGTGCCATACAAGCACCTAACAAAAAGATTTTCCTTGCCCCAAAGTGGTTGCAGTCTGTGTACTCAGGCCATCAGCACTGGGGCAGAGGGCAAAGGCCATTTTGTCTATCTATGGGGACTGCTCCCCTGCCCTGCTGCTACCAGACCATAGGGCTCCTCATAGATCATATCTAGACCCACCTCTGGTAGCAGGATGAGCAGTGTCAGTGCAGATATTTCAACTGCCATCATTAACTTTCAGGGTTAATAGTCAAACAAGAGAAATGCTGCAGTCCCTATTGCAATTACTGCAGGCTGCCTGCTAATTGATGCAAATATTCAAAAAGTTTTCTTTGCAGCTAGGAGGGCTGGAGATTTAATTTAAAAAGACGGAATGGCTTTGGCTAAAAGGTACTGAAGTCTGGGTAGAGTCTGCGATGGATTCCAGGAACAAGAAGTTGGAGTATACCTATGTCCCCGATTAAACTACAGTTTTAACCACAAGTTTTATATTTGTGCCTACAAAGATTCTACCTCAGCTGAGACTGGCAGGTCCTCTTCTCTATTTAAAAGCCCAATTATATTCCATAGCCTCTGCCTTTCTCTTCCCCTTAGCCTGCTCATTTGCATTTCAATACCCAGAATGCTCTTCTGGCTCACAGTTATTTCACAGCGGGGCTGTTGTTTGAGCTCTGGGAATGCAGGGAGAGGGTTTATCCATTTCTGCTGAGCTCTGTTCCCTCTGCTTTGCAAAGCAGAGTTGTGGGAAGCCCAGACCTGCCTTGTTCCCCTGTCATGGGGAAGGATGTCTCCTTCTTAAAGCCAGATAGCTCCTGTGAGCTGTATGGTTCTGCTGTGTGAGTGGTAGGGAAGGGGATCAGACAAAATAGGCTTTGTATTGAGCTCTGGGCACAGAGGTGTCATGTATCCAGTTTAGTTTTTTGAACTGGTTCTGATGATGGCAGAATGCTTAGGAAACAAAAGGCCAGAAGCAGGAGTCAGACCCTCAGAACTGTTGTCAGGAAGAAGGCATTAGCAGAAAGCGTGGCGGGCAGCTCTTGGCTTTGTGACACAGTACTCCCTTTGCAATGACAGATGTCCCCTGTGATGTTTGGACTCCCTTGCAGCAAGGCAGTGGGAACTGCAGAGCTGAGCCCGTTCCCCAAGTCAAGCCAAAGGTATCTCAAGCTGAGCATCCAAAAATCAAGGTGGAGCTTATGAGCCCTGCTTCAGGGCAAGCCCAGCAGGTCTCCAGTTTCTCTGATGAGCTATGGTTCCCCATATGCCAACCCCTGCAGTGTCCCTTCGCACCCCCTCAAGATGAGCCTGATTCAACTCTGTTGCCTGGAGTGTG